AGGATTCTCCCGTAGAGGCTCCAAAAGGAATGTGGCCCTGCCGACATCTTAATTTAAGACTTCTGGCCTGCAGAACTGAGAGACAATAAATTTCTGTTGTTTTAAGCCATGCAGTTTCTGGTAATTTGTTACCTCAGTCCTAGAAAATGAAAATGCATATCTTTGGCTTCCTATGTCCGTATTCTGCCCAATAATGGGCTCTACCCTATGGCATAGGCCCTTGTGTATGGTGTCATCGCAAAATTCATACAAGCTTTGTCATCAGAGCCCTACAGATTTATTTTTGTCTACCTTTTTATTGTGAAAGTTTTTGCATAATTTTAGATGTATTTGTTTGGTAATCCTGGTCCTGCCCTTAAAAGCTGGGTAACCATGGATGAGTTAGATAACCTTAGCACTTTAATTTCTACACTATTTAATTTAGCAACCAACAAATGTTAGTATTCCTTCCTGTAAATCTAATCTAAAAGCTGCAACTTTTAAAAGGGATCTTCACTGATAAAATGGTTATACCCAATATTACTTGTTCCTTTGTTTTAGGTTTATTCCTTTTCTATCGTTTTTCCATTTTTTGCAGTGATTTGAAGAGCCATGCCATTATAATTCTATCAGTAGTTATAATAAAACTTTTCCAAAACTGTAAAATTTGTGTTTATCCAATAGTGGTTATGATCCTGGATGGCCTCGGACTGCAGCCGCTTGAAGCAGGGCTTCAGTTCCTGGCTAGAGATTGAGGTCGGGCAGCGGCACTGAGAGCACTGAATCCTAGCCACTAGGCCAGTGGCCAGTGACAAGGCCCTGGCCCTTCAGCTCTGCAGGATAGAATTCCCACAAAGATGGAAAGCAATGAAAGGAGTAAAGGGTTATTAGGAGGAAAAGGAGTACAGGTGGACAGAAAAACGAGTGGGCTTAGAGAAAGAGTCGCACCCTTGTGATAGTTTGAATCACTTTTATGGGGCATTTCTTCCTGGTTTCCTTTGGCCAATCATCTTGCTTTGCCTGGTCTGAGTCCATATTTGGTATATCTCAGTGTCCTCCCATGTGTGCACACGCATCTCTTAGGCAAGATGGATTCCTGCAAAGACGCCTATGGGTAGGTTGACATCACCTACTATGCTATGGCACTCACCCCCCTTTTTGACCTTAAAGGAGCCTTTCTGCTCAGAGCCTTCATGCTCTGTAGTCAGGAAGGTCTACTTGACCTTGAGAATGAGAAATATTTGGTCTCTTATCTGGGCAGGGCTTAGCTTCTCCTCCCTTCTGCTATTTTGGAGTATCTGTCCACGGGGGGGCGAACTCCAAGCTGCTCAGCCTGGGGCCCATCTATCTCCTGTCTCAGTTATGGAAGGATCTGAAGAAAACCTCAGATTTGTGTGCCCAGTTCCTGTCTTCTGGAAAACTACCACAAAACGGCATTCAATTATTCCCTTCTGGAATTTAATCTTGTGTATGTCATGAGGTATTTTTCCAAATAAATAGCCAGTTATCCCAATATCACTTATTGAATAGTCCATTCTTTCTCTGTTTTGAGATATTATTATTATTTCTTTTTTGTGGTACGCGGGCCTCTCACTGTTGTGGCCTCTCCCATTGTGGAGCACAGGCTCTGGACGCGCAGGCCCAGTGGCCATGGCTCACGGGCCCAGCCGCTCCGCGGCATGTGGGATCCTCCCAGACCGGGGCACAAACCTGTGTCCCCTGCATCGGCAGGCGGACTCTCAACCACTGCGCCACCAGGGAAGCCCTAAATTTCATTTTTAAATCCCATTGAGTGACAAGGATGCCAAGACAATTAAATGCCAAGACAATTAAAAGAACAGTCTTTTCAACAAAGGTGCTGAGAATACTGAATATTCACATGCAAAAGAATGATGTTGTACCCATACTTCATACCATATATTAAAAAGTTACCTCAAAATGGATGGATCATAGACCTAAAAGAGCTAAAACTGTAAAACTCTTAGAAGAAAATATGTAAATCTTCACAACCTTGGATTATAACAAGAGGAAACACAATAAAAGAAAAATAGGTAAACTGGACTACATCAAAATTGAAACTTTTTGTGCTTCAAAGAACATCATCAAGAAGTGAAAAGACAATCAACAGAATGGGAGAAGATATTTGCAAATTAGATATATAAGGGTCCAGTATCCAGAATATATAAAGAACTCTTACAATTCAACAATAAAAAGATAAATAACCTAATTTAAAATGCCTGAAGAATCCAAATAGACATTTCCTCAAAGAAAATATATATTTATGTATATGTATATAAATATATATATATATAGTTATGTATATGTATATATATCTATCTCACAGAAAAAAACAAGTATTGACAATGACAGGGGAAAATAAGAACCCTCATATGTTGCTGATGGGACTGAAAACTGGTACAGCTGCTTTAGAAAATAGTCTGGCATTTCCTCAGAAGTTTAAACACAGAGTTAACATAAGACTCAACAATTTCACTTCCTGGTATATATGTACAAGAGAACTGAAAACATGACATTACAAAAATTTATATGTGGAAGTTCATAGCAGCATTATTCACAATAACAAAACAGTGGAAACAACCCAAAAGTCCATCAATTGATGAACAGATAACAAAATGTGGTCTACCCATACAATGAAATGTTATTTATCCATAAAGAGAAATGAAGTAGTGATGTGTGCCACAACATGGACAAACCTTGAAAACATAATGCTAAGTGAAAGCCAGCCACAAAAGACCACATATTCTGTGATTTTATTGAAATAAAAAAGCCAGAAGAGACAAATCCTCAGAAAAAGAAAGTAGATGAGTAGTTCCAGGAGCTGGAGGGAGAAGAGCAATGGAGAGTCACTGCTAAAAGGTATGGGTTTCTTTTTGGGGTAATGAAAATATTCTGAAGTTAGATAGTGGTGGCAGTCACACAACTCTGTGAATATGTTAATATCTGAATTGTACTTTGAAAAATTGGATTATGTGGTATGAGAACTATATCTCAATAAAGCTGTTATTTTTAAAAACTATTGAGATTTTGATTTAAGCTTGCAAATCAAAGATAAATTTAAAACAAACTGACATCTTTATACAATTTTTCTAATCGTGCCTCTTCATTTATTATAATATTCTATGTTCTTTAGAAACAAATTTATCCTATAATCATCTCTTGGAATTTTTTTTTATTCCTGGAATTTTTAGATTTTTTTTTTTGGTCAATACTATGACTGTCACTTTTTTCCATTACATTTTTAATTTCTTTTATTTAAGAAAGCTTTTTATTTGGGCATTGTTGATAATATATATGTGCCCTACTAGCTGTATTTTCTAGCTACCAAATATATCATCTCATGATGTCAGGATTTTTTCTCTTCCTTTTAAATATTACTGGCTCAGAATTTTCTCTCTTATTGAATTACCTGAGACCTGTAGAACATTGCTAAGAGTGCTGACATTAAGCATCACTTGTCTTGTTCCTGCTTCTCATAAGAACATTCTAGTTATATGCAGTGTTTGGTAGGTTTCTGGTAAATATCTCTTATCAATTTAAGGAAGTTTCCTTCTATTCCTAACTTTAAAACAATGCCAATGACTGTAGAATATAGCCAAATCCTTTTATTGCATCTAGCATAATACAGTCTTTCTTTATTAATGTACGTTTCTCCTTTTGAACTAGTCTGGAAGTGCTATGACAAATATCAGTATTAATTTTACTAAACTGCTAGATTTGACTTGTTAATGATTGAATTAGAAAATTAAACTTCCCTTTTATCTGTATTTATATTCCTTTCCTTACTCCTAGATATTGTGTTTTCTCCTTTCTTTCCCATTATCCTACTTGCCAGAATTTATATACTGACTTATCAAATGTACTTTTCGTACTTAGTTTATTAATGTATTCTTTTAGCTTTATTAATGCATTCCTTTTTTATTCTTTGGGCTTATACTATTATTTGGTTGCCTATCTTTTTAAATTGAAAATTTATGTTCCAGTTTTATTATTTTCTAATAATTGCATTTTTTTCTGTTTGAATTTATTCTTTAACACAAAAATTACTTAGAAAACTATTTTTAATTTCTAAATAATTTTCTGGTGCTCTTTTCAGTTGTTGTTCTTTTCTTTTATCTCACTGTGGTAAAAATATATAAATAAACAGGGAAGGTTTGAATATTTCCCTCAGGGAGAATTTGTTGAAATTTTCTTTGTAGCCATATATATAGTCCATTAAAAAAATATATCCCAGGACTTTCCTGGTGGTGCGGTGGTTAAGAATCTGCCTGCCAATGCAGGGGACACGGGTTTGAGCCCTGGTCCAGGAAGATCCCACATGCTGCGGAACAACTAAGCCCGCAAGCCACAATTACTGAGCCGGCATTCCACAACTACTGAAGCCCACACGCCTACAGCCAGTGCTCCGCAACAAGAGAAGCCACCACAATGAGAAGCCCGTGCACCACAACGAAGAGTAGCCTCTGCTCGCTGCAGCTAGAGAAAGCCTGCGAGTAGCAACAAAGACCCAATGCAGCCAAAAATATAAATTAAAAAAAATTTTTTTTAATTCCATGAATACTGGAAAATAATGCATATTATCTCTGTGGGGGAAAGCATTCTTATCTATGGCTTAATTAAACTTGTCAAAATTTAAAATTCAAACCCTCTATAAAGGTGTTACTTTAACATTTAAAAATAAGATAAGAACTACTAAAAAGATTATATATAAACAATTTTTATCATCTATCTAAAACTTCTGTGTATCTGAAAAGGCTTTAATTATAAGCAAATATATACATTGGTAATAAATTATCTCTAAAATTAATTTCCTAAATGTCTTTAAAAGACAAATTTCAGTTTTAGAGATGACTGTTTCCATTATAAATTTTTATATCAATGATAACACATTTTTCAGATGAATTACAAGAACAGTGTTTCTTCTCAGTACAAACACTATAATATTGAGTAAATGAGTATTTTACCTCAAGTTTTTCTTGCATAACAATCTTAAGAGTTTTTTACTACTGTGAGTGCTCAGGGTTAAGGGATGACCTATGGCTGCAAGCTTTCCCACATTCATTACTCTGATAAGGTTTCTTCACTGTATGTGTTCGCTTATGTTTAGTAAGGGCTGAGCTTAAGCTGAAGGTTTTCCCACATTCATTACACTGGTAGGGTTTCTCTTCTGTATGAGTTCTCTGGTGTCGAATTAGTGATGTTCTATAGTAAAATAGTTTTTGACATTCATTACATCGATAGGGTTTCACACCAGAATGTACTTTTAGATGTTCAGTAAGGTGTGTACTTCGGCTGAAAGTTTTCCCACATTCCTTACAAACATAAGGTTTCTCTCCAGTGTGAGTTCTCTGGTGTTCAGTAAGATGTGCACTCCGATTAAAGGCCTTTCCACATTCATTACACTCATAGGGTTTCTCTCCAGTATGAATTCTCTGATGTTGAATGAAGGCTGGGGTATGGCTGAAGGCTTTTCCACATTCATTACATTTGTAGGGTTTTTCTCCTGTGTGAGTTCTCTGATGTCGGATTAGTGATGAGCTGTGGCAAAAAACTTTCCTACATTCCTTACACTGGTAGGATTTCTCCCCAGAATGAATGCCTTGATGTTCTATAAGATGTGTGCTCCGGCTGAAGGTTTTCCCACATTCAACACATGCATATGGTTTCTTTCCAGTGTGAATTCTGTGATGCTGAGTAAGGGCTGAAATATGGCTGAAAGCCTTCCCACATTCATTACAAGGATAGGGTTTTTCTCCAGTATGTATTCTCTCATGATTTCTAAGGGATGACCTATGACTAAAGGCTTTTTCACATTCATTACACTCATAAGGTTTCTCCCCAGTATGGACTCTTTGATGTTGAATAAGGTTAGTGCTCTGACTAAAAGCTCTTCCACATTCATTACATTCATAAGGTTTCTCTCCAGTATGAATTCTCTGATGTTGAATGAAGGCTGGGTTATGGCTGAAGGTTTTTCCACATTCATTACATTTGTACAGTTTTTCTCCTGTGTGAGTTCTCTGATGTCGGATTAGTGATGAGCTGTGGCAAAAAACTTTCCTACATTCCTTACACTGGTAGGATTTCTCCCCAGAATGAATGCCTTGATGTTCTATAAGATGTGTGCTCCGGCTGAAGGTTTTCCCACATTCAACACATGCATATGGTTTCTTTCCAGTGTGAATTCTGTGATGTTGAGTAAGGGCTGAAATATGGCTGAAAACTTTTCCACATTCATTACAAGGATAGGGTTTTTCTCCACTATGTATTCTCCCATGATTTCTAAGGGATGACCTATGACTAAAAGCTTTTTCACATTTATTACACTTATAAGGTTTCTCCCCAGTATGGACTCTTTGATGTTGAATAAGGTTAGTGCTCTGACTAAAAGCTTTTCCACATTCATTACATTCATAAGGTTTCTCTCCAGTATGTATTCTTTGATGTTGAATAAGACTAGTGTTTCGGCTGAAGGATTTACCACATAGTTTACATTTACGTTTCTCTCTCATACAAATTTTCTCAGATTCCATTAGTACTGAATTATGGGTTTACATTTAAATTGTTTCCAGAATAAGGTTTGAGGTACAAATGCATCCTTTCTTATATTTAAAATTATTTTCCATTTATGTTGCCTTTAAAAAAAAATCTATTGAAGCAGAATTAGGTTTTAAGCTCCACTTGTGTCATAATTAATGAGGTCTTTATCTTCTAGAAACTCTCAGTTGTTTAAAAGATTTGAGCTGAGATTTAATATTTCCCTCAAACTGTTATATTCATGATCTTCCTCTTGAATTATTTTTCCCTTATAATTTAATTTTATTTGTGTTTCTCAAATTGGTTATTGAATTCCAATTCTTCTAATGTGTAGAGCCATCATTTGAAAAATGTTCTAACATCATGCCATGACACTATTTGTTTTTCAGAAGCTTTCTGCTTTGGAATTAATGCTCTGACTTTGGATATAATATTCAGGATTAAGCAGAAGACAGTATTTCTTCCCTCTGGAATATAAAGGGGAAAACAAAGCTCACTCATCAGTTACAGAAAAATATATAATAAAAATAAACCACTGCTGATAAAACAAAAGATTATACAGTATCGGTTCTGATTAATATGGAAGTTTAAAGAAGGAAAGGATTAATATAGATAAGTGTGGTAAAAGAAATGATAGCACTGAGACAAAATTCATAGTATAATTAAAAATAAAGATATAAAAAGTACATGACATGACAAAGAGTCAATGATACTAGTTCAAATATATGTCTTTGGAAAGCAGAGGAAAAAATAAGAAAGGAAAAATGAAATGGAATCATATAATAACAAATTCTGACCAACAGAGAAATGTCATGTAGTAGGAGAGAAAAAAATTGAAGTTTTCTGTCATAGTAGCAACATGATAAATGTGTGATGTTTTAGATGAAGTGCTTGTTAATTTCATCTAAAATGGATAATAGGGGACTTCCCTGGTGGTGTAGTGGTTAAGAATCCATCTGCTAATGCAGGGGACACGGGTTCAATCTCTGGTCTGGGAAGATCTCACGTGCCGCAGACCAACTAAGCCCGTGTGTCACAACTTCTGAGCCTGTGTGCCACAACTACTGAAGCCCATGCGCCTAAAGCCCGTGCTCCGCAACAAGAGAAGCCACTGCAATGAGAAGCCCATGCACCGCAACAAAGAGTAGCCCCCGCTCACTGCAACTAGAGAAAGACCACACACAACAACGAAGACCCAATGTGGCCAAAAATAAATTAAAAAACAAATAAATAAATAAAATGGATAATAGAATAAGGCTATCAAATTCAGCAAGAAAGTATAATATAAATGACATGCGCCTGGATTAGGAGAATACAAAAGAATTTAGTATAGGAGTAAATCTAAAACATAAAAAGGAAGAAAGAAACAAAAATATACTAACATTGATTATGAGGAATTTGTACAAAATGAGATTCATAAAGATACTTGGTTTCTAGCCAAGAAAGCTGGAAGTAATAGTGGTACTTCCTCTAAGTGGTACTTAGAGGAGCTAATAGTACCAATAATACTGGTACAAATTATAGAAATACTGAAGAAGGAAAAAGAGGCTACTTAGAGAAATTTGGTGATTTTACTTTTTACCATATTGAGTTTAAAGTGATTTAAAGTGAAGTGGGACATTCAAGTAGCAATATACTCTAAGCATGGAAACTATGGGGAATTCAAATGAGATATGTGAGCTGAAAAAATATATCAGGGAATTAATGACATGGAAGGACTATTTTTGAGGGTATCAGAATGCATGATTCTTTGAGATAAAAAATAAACAAGTAAAATATAAACCTTAAAAGACATGCATTTGTGTTATGGAGGAAGTGAAACTAATGAAAAAGCACTTGGAAAGAGATTAAAACAGAAAATAATCTAGCGATGTCACACAAGCAAAGACAAAATATCAAATGCAGCTGAAAGTTTGAATATGGAAAGGACTAAGAACAGATTTCTATCAAGAAAGAATTCAGGATTCAGGGGTTTCTTCAAAATAATTTTAGTAGAAAAATAGATGATAAGAGTCTAACTTCAAAGATTAAAGTTGAATAGAATTGAGGCTGTTAGGTATGAGTATGAAAAGTTTGATAATGAAAGCAGAGAATAAAATTAAAAGGTAAATAAAAGAGCATCGTTACAGAAGGTGTTCTTTGAAAAGTAAGGAAAACTTTTTTTTAAATAAATTTATTTATTTTATTTATTTATTTTTGGCTGTGTTGGGTCTTTGTTGCTGCATGCGGGCTTTCTCTAGTTACAGTGAGCAGGGGCTACTCTTCTTTGTGGTGTGCAGGCTTTTCGTTGCGGTGGCTTCTCTTGTTGTGAAGCACGGGCTCTAGGCGTGGGCTTCAGTAGTTGTGGCATGCAGGATCAGAAGTTGTGGCTTGCGGGCTCTAGAGCACAGGCTCAGTAGTTGTGGTGCATGGGCCTAGTTGCTCCATGGCACGTGGGATCTTCCTGGACCAAGGATCGAACCACTTTCCCCTGCATTGGCAGGCAGATTCTCAACCACTGAGCCACCAGGGAAGCCCAGAAAAACTTTTGATATCTAAAATTTGAAGACGGAGACACTGAATTATGAAATAATCATTAAATCAAGGTCCTAAAACAAGTAGAAAATAATGGAGTCTGGGGTACAGAGAGGTTCATTAATAAATGAAAGAGGGGGGGTTCCCTGGTGGCACAGTGGTTGAGAGTCCGCCTGCCAATGCAGGGGAAACGGGTTCGTGCCCCAGTCCAGGAAGATCCCACATGCCATGGAGAGGCTGGGCCTGTGAACCATGGCCGCTGAGCCTGCACATCCGGAGCCTGTGCACCGCAACGGGAGAGGCCACAACAGTGAGAGGCCCGTGTACCACAAAAAATAAATAAATAAATAAATAAATGAAAGCAGGTTATCCCTCCCTCTGAGATCACAAAGATATGTGAGAAGATGGATAAAGATATGTAGAAATGAAGTTGAATGTTGCTCCCACTGGGTGAACTCTGTTTTATACACAGATAAGAGGGGGCTCTGCACAGTGGACACTAACCAGCATTTCCAAATCTACCACCTAGTACCAATATCATTGGTACCACCACCACAATGGACAGATGAACTATTATTTATAAGGATTTCTTGCGACTTGCTTGTTAGTTATCTGATTCTTTCTTGGCTAAGTATCTTGTGACATTTCTCCATTTTTTCCTCTGTTATCTATTAATATGGTTCTTCCTACTTAGAAGATAATATCTGATTTGAAAAGCTGATGCTTGGAAACTTGGTGAAGGATATGGGCTTGGGTGTTTATGATGGCTCTCAAAATTGTGTCCTAAATTATCTTCAGGAACTATGAAATATAGGAATGTTGATGCTGCTAAGGCAACATAATAAAGTTATCTACGTACAATGTTTTGAAGAAAAGAGCAATCACCTGTTTAATAATAAAAGAAATATCTTGTCTCCATGCACAAATAAAATTTTAAGATCTCTGGTCCCTAAACTCAAAGCCCAACTCAGATAAACACTTGTAAATCCCATAATCCCACACACTTTGACGTTTGAGGAAAAAGTCATGGCAGTCTCTAGTAATTACAAAGCTGTACTTAATCCATGAGACAAGGCTCCTGCAGTTGTTATCACTTATAGTATCTGACAGTGGTTTGATTCTTTTCATTACCACAAGGTAAAGTCCACTGGCACACCCTTCAACGCCACTGGTTCCCAGAACAGCAAACAAATACCTTCTAAGGGATCATTCATGCAACTACTTATGAAAGAAAGAGTAAAGCTAATAACTCAAAATGACAAAGTAGAGGGCTAGGAAGTTATTCAAAGAGAGTTCAGGGTTCTAAAGTTCTAAATTCAAGAGTGGCCAAAAGTACTTATTTGGTGCTGGTGGCGCAGTGGTTGAGAGTCCGCCTGCTGATGCAGGGAACACGGGTTCGTGCCCCGGTCCGGGAAGATCCCCCAGGCCGCGGAGCAGCTGGGCCCGTGAGCCATGGCCGCTGAGCCTGCGCGTCCGGAGCCTGTGCTCCGCAACGGGAGAGGCCACAGCAGTGAGAGGCCCGTGTACCGCAAAAACAAACAAAAACAAACAAACAAACAAAAAAGTAAAGTGATGGTAACAGAACATAGAAAAAAGAGGTGTTAGAGATACAAAAAACGGTAGGCTCCTCCTACTCACAAAAAACCTGGAAGAAAAGAGACTAGCACCTAATACTATCTAGATCTGTTTATCTCAGTAAGCAGGTAGAGTTTATTGTGGGGCTAGAACTAATATGATAACTTTATCTAAGAGCTTTACATATTTGCATCACACCATTAACTCCCTTTGGTATAACTGCACACTTGCCAAGCAAAATTAGGATTAGAATTTTGTTTCCTTTTTTTTTCTTTCTTGCCAGACAACATAAAAATATGAATTCCTTGGTAGTTCTGGATCTCAATGTAATATAAATCCACTTTCTGTTTAACTCATCGGTCACTTGTAAACTTACATGGTTAAATCTATCTCTACACTAACTTCAAGTTTCTGAAACTGCAAATATGAGGATCAGACCATAGATGATAAGGAATTCACCAAGATAAGTGCCACAGTGAGATACCTCAGATGTCAAACAGCTAATCAACTTACCCAGAAAACGCTGATATCACTGTCTGTCATATTTCACACTGCAATATAACTTCCCTTGTGCTACCCTCTTTAGGCAATAGGACAGATAAAACAGATACAATATTTGATATTAAAAGATATGTCCTCTACTTGGAAAGAAAAGTTTAGTGGAGACTTGGGAGGAGCTTGAAAACAAAACAAGCAAAAGAAAGCTCTAGAGGAGTAATAAACTGACG